CCCCCCCCCGTGCCAAATTTCTCAATACTTACGTGGTCACAATTACATTGTAATCTTCGTATCTACTATGAATGTTAAATCTAATTTGTTTACGTTCTTCTTGAGAACCTAGAATTTAAAAACAATACATACATTGATTGTATTTATTGTGCTTTACTGTATTTTAATTTTGAAGAAATTCCCAAAGTTAAAAGCAGAATTACATATTCTTACCATAGTAACAAAGCACCTTTAAAGTGGGGCACCATAAGTTAACTTCCCTTAACCAGTTATCTAGGAAACAAAAGAGATGTTACTTGCATCTGCTACGATACGGTATGTTCGCGCAGTTCATGATAAAGTTTGACAGGTTATGCTTAGAAATTTCTATAAAATATAAATAACACAATTTTGTTTTTATCACAGACCCTTCACAATATTAATTAGTCTTTATGATTAAACTGATCTTGAAGTTTTCACGAGGCTTCAAAATGAAGGGCAGAGGACCAACTACTGTATTTACAGGTGATTATTAACTTCCAATTTTAATTGGAAGAGAAGGTTTTCTTTGTTACATTCATATGGACAAATATTTTCTTACTCTAACTGCCACATCCAGTAAATTGACAAAGAATGGAACAGTCATTTGAGTAGGAATTACATATTTTGATTCAATAAGTATCCAATTATGAATTTAAAAGTACCAAAATAAATATCTTATCCAATGGTCCTTGATCTATAATGATTTAAAAAATGAATAACTGACTTATATTTGAGTTGTTTCCTTTTAAAAGACTGACGATACAAACACACATATATACACGATGGAGAAAAGTATAAGGAGACCATAAAAAATTAATCTTCATCTCCACAAACTAAGAAACCACAACCGACCCCCCTCCCCCAACATTCCTACACACACTCTCTGCCACCTATATAAACACTATAAAGTCAAATACAGTTGTCCCCAGTATTACAAACCTATAGTTGAGGCTGGAACAACGATCAAATGAGGACCATTATTACCCTCCTGATAGAGATATGCCAGAAATGCAATGGCTTGTATAGTTTTTCCTAGGCCCTAAAATTAAAAGTTTAAAAGATAATACATGAAATTTAAAAACAAAGAACAAATAAATATTTGAAAATACAAAAGGAAAAGGAACATTTTTGTGCTGTATTCATTTTTGATTTTCCATAATGCAACTCTAAGAGCATTTCTACTATGTTCTTCTCAAATTGATCATAATCTCCAAATGCTGCTGTAACTTACTTTAATTAGCAGGATGAATAGATCTTAATTGCTAATTCATACATAACACATATTAATGTGGAAGATTTTCTGCATTGCATGGAAAGGATATAATTTTGGTTATTGCTTATATATAGCAAATATTTATACGCACTGGATGGAATGAGGATGATGTCCCTGGACTAAGTGTAGGTAAACACATGCCCACTCTACTATCCAGCAATTTCACTCTTAGGAATATAATCAAGGGATATCAGAGCGTATGTCATAAGGACTTGAGTAAGACTGCATAATTTTATTTTAGTAGGCAAGCATTAGAAATAACCTAAATACCCCTCAATAGAAGAATGGATCCACAAATTGCGGCTTATTTATACTACGTACTACCATACAACACGGCAATAAAAAAGAACACAAAATACTGATACATGTAAGAACACCGATGAATCTCAGTAACATTATGTTCCACCAAATGAACCAGAAACAAATAGTATATATCGTATAACCAGGAAAAAATCAATCTATGGTGTCAAAATAGTGGTGGTGGTAATGACAGGAAAACACAATGGGGAACTTTCTGGGATATGGAAAATGTTGCTCTGGGTAGTGGTCACGTGGGTATAAATATATGCAAAAAGTCACTAAGCTGTACATCTGTGCATTTTATTGTAAGTAAATTAGACATCAATAAAATAGTGGTTTTAAAAATGGCTACTAAGGAGGTTTAGCTCCTAAGGGGAACTACACATTACCCAACTGTTATGGACTGAATTGTGTCGCCTCTGAAACACATTATGTTCAAGCCCTGACTCCCAATGTGACTGTATTTTGAAAGACAGGGCTTTCAAGCTAGTCATGGTGGCTCACGCTTGTAATCCCAGCACGTTAGCAGGCCAAGGTGGGAGGATTGCTTCAGCCCAGGAGTTCAAGATCAACCTGGGCAACATAGCAGGACCTCATCTCCACAAAAAATACAAACAATAGCTAGATGTGGTGGTGCACACCTGGTAGTCCCAGCTACTCGGGAGGCTGAGGCAGGAGAATTGCTTGAGCCCCGGAGTTTGAGGATACAGTGAGCTATGATCATGCCACTGCACTCCAGCCTGGGCGACAGAGCAAGACTCTGTCTCAAAAAAAAAAAAAAAAAAAAAAAGAGAAAGAGAGAGAGAAGGTTTTAAGAAGGAAATTAAGATTAAATGAGGTCATAAGGGTGGGGCCCAATCCAGTATGACTGGTGTCATTGTTAAGCAGAGAGATACCAGGGATGCACACACACAGAGAAAAGGCCATGTCAGGATACAAAGAGAAAATGGTTGTCTGCAAGCCAAAGAAAGAGGCCTCAGGAGTAATCCCACCTAATAATACCTTGATCCTGGACTTTCAGCCTCCAGAATTGGGAAAAATAAATTTCTGTTGTTTAAGCCATTCAGTTTGTGGTATTTTAGTATGGCAACCCTAGCTGACTAAGCCACCAACTTAAAATATTGTGCTCTGCAGGTCACAACAAGAATTTCACATAATATACACCTCACTTGATGCCAACTACAATCTTATGTTATAGAAATTATCTATGTTTTATTAATATTAGTCCTGAGAGATTAGATCACCTGGCAAGGATCAGACAGCCCATCAAAGGCAAAGCTGGGACTGGAAACCCATGTCAGATTTCCAAGCTACACAGTCACACAACTGTAATGCTACAATTGCAATGCTATGTATTCTATATGTAATTTCTGTATTTTGAAATCCTTTATTATTCACTTTTTCATTAAATACCATATTTGTTTTAATGACAGTATGAAATATGTGTGGAATACACCTTACAGTACGAAAGATTATTTTCCTAGCAGCTAACTAGTGAATGAGTATCGTATCTTTGTTAATTTTTACTTTGGGAATTCAATACAAAGTGTAATACCTATGCATTTGGTAAACATTTTCTCTACCCAACATGACCCATTCTGAATATACACTTTTAAAAAGTATGCACTTTTATCTTAATATATACTTTTAAAAAGTATAGCTGAAGGTAATATTAGATTAAAGGTCAAGTTTCTACACAGCACCTGGACTATTAGCTATAATGAACTTCCTAACTTGCTTTAAGCAAATATGATTTGGGAAAGAATAGACTTGGAGAGATATCTAATAAAAATAAAGCGGCTGAAATGATGTTGCTGATATATATGTGTGGATTTATTTATGAACCAGGACAGGTATTTAAGTAAATTAAAACTTAAAGGCCAATAAAATGGTCTTTTGTAAGGGAAATGTTTGATAGGGTGGAAAAAGGAGGGGAGTAGAGGGTACTGGGCTAATTAAGTCCTTTGCAGTAATAAGGTAATAACAGCTGTTAACAGCTGGCTCACACACACACACACACACACACACACACACACACATCTTTGTCATGGGGGGCACAGAGCTTCAGAGTTAGTAAGTGATGTTGGATAAAGCACAGTTATCCTCCGTACCTCAATTATCACACCAAAATAAAATGAATAAACAAATAAAACTTAAAAGGCAACTGTAGATAAATTACATAGAGTAAAATCTCACTTGGTATTACATATATATGTATGTATATACACACATACACATGCAAACACCACACATTTGCAGAAGAAAAATTCTAGAAAGATGGACAAGAAACTAGAGCTTGTTTCTAACTGGTAGGATTTTGGTGACTTTGATTTTTTTTTCTTTGTATATTTTTATGTAATGTCTAATTTTTAACACATGAATTTATTCATTTGATAATCAGAAAAACAATACATCTATTTTCATTTGGGGGAGGAGTCAGAAGGCTAAAACTAACAGGCTATCAAAAACAGAGAGGGAGGAGAAAACATTAAGCTACTGAAGTGAGAGTAGTTAACTACAGTGGCAAGGAAAAATTTCACGTTTTAAATGACAGCAAGGATACCTATTAATGACACTTTGAATAACGAATCCTAGAAATAGAGTACACTTACCATTTCATCTGCCAAAATGCCGTTAAGTCCATGTTTATGCACCAATGCCAGCCAGTTCAAACCAACCTTCTGATACGGCTTCAGTGACAAACTGGCAAAGAGAGAGTTACTAAATATTACAGATTTATATTTCTATTAGTTTTCTGACATAAAGCTCAGGTTTACATATAAAAACTGAAACACCTAGGTTTAGCCTTACCTTTTAGCTTATTGTTATGAGCTATGCACACCTACTTCAGAAAATGAACCCAAAACACCATTTTTTTTCCTGTTCAAACTTTGTTCTGTATTTGTTGATTTATTTCTTGTGGCAATAAGAATCAAATATTTCCCTATTTGTCATAAGGTAACGCTACCAAATTAACTCCATGAATTATCTGAATATTAACTATGATAACATATTACTAAGCTAATATTAATACTAGAAAATTAAATTGTACTGATTTGAGTTTTAGCACATTAAGGAACTTAAAGTATTACTTAAAGTATTACTTTAAGTAATACTATGTTTGGTTACTAAGTAACCAAACATAACTTGCTACTTTGGCCAGGTTAGTTTAATAAACACTTTCTGAGCATGCCAATCATCCCTAATGTCACTGGTATGTATAATTCTGCAGTGTGCATGTAGGTGTATACTCATGTGTGCACGATGTACAAATGTAAACTTGCTAGACACCAATGAACATCGGTGAGTAGAAAATAGCACGCAAGTGTCAAAAATCTTATTTAATTTGGAAACATATAAACAGACTAATCCCTGGGAATGACTTGTTTGGAGGGTAATATGGGAAAGTTACAATGGATAAAAACAACAGTTTTTTCTAAAAGTTCAAGTGGTTTAAAAACTAACAGCAGTTATCGTTTACTGAACACCTATTATATATATAGACAGAGATATTTTTCAAGTATGACCTCATTTAGTCCTTTAAACATCCCATAAAGTAGCTATTATCATCATTTTAACAGATAAAAAAAACCGAGGCTGAGTCTGCATCGCTGTAGTTTGTCTGAGGTTGCACAGCTACAAAGTGTTGTGGCTAAGATTTTCATTCAGGACGTCTACCTCATTCCAAAGCCTTCTCATACTCACTAGAACAGCATATACCCCACATTAATGTGAAGAAGAGAAGAGAAGGCCATGCCTCCCCTTCTCCAGCTTTTATCCTATCCCCTTAATTTCCTCAAACATCCTGTTTGCACAGGGAAGGGGTCTGGACATAGCTATGGTATAAGAAATGGTGAAAGGGTCAAACCCTGAAATTGAGACCATTAGAATGGGGTAAAGGAGGAGAGACTGAAGGACGTCTGTGTTACATCAGAATCTAAGCTTCAACTAGGGTACGCAATGAATAAAACATTTCTTGTTTAACAAAATTAAACATATAGGTAGGAGAAAAATCAGCAGTATATCCAAGGTCTTTACAGTTCTTTTGCTGGATTTTTTAAAAGGTCTTTTGCCTTCTTAGTCAACATAATTTTTATGATACTACAAAGTGATGATAAATAGAACATATTATCATAGATATTTTAATTATTAGATCCAAAAGTATTCTTTCTACTATAGTAGTGGTGTGAATAAATGCAAACATTGGAATATTTACCACATTCCAGACAATATGCTATAGGTTTTATAAGCATTATAATATTTCAATTATAACATTGATAATTATCCCCATTTTACAGATGAGAAGTTCACCATGGCTCAGAGAACTTAAGGAACTTGCCCAAGGTCACCCAGCTAACCAGATCCATATCTGCAGTGGCAGAGTCAATATCCAATCCAGGTGTGACCCAGAGCTCAGCCCTTAACCACTAAACAGCGAAAATGAAAAATTCTCTCTCTGACTCCCCCCATCCCGCATGGTCAACACTGAGTTCTCCTTATTTTTCTGAGTCCTTCCCTCTGTTTTAGTCGTCCTATACATACATATAAGGTTCACAATTCCTGAGAAGGTCAACTTAATAGGAAATTTAATAATGAAACTTAATAAGGTAGGCATATTACGTCAATTTAAATAAATCCAGTGGCCCACATGCCATCCCAATGTACAACCTATCACAAATAGCCAAGAAATAAACAAAAATCACTAAACTTCTTCATTACCAACACATGTTTAGAAAACAGTCTATTTAACTGCCAAAATTCTCATTATACATCAAATTTTAAAGAGTAATGAGGAAAATTTAAAAATAGCTACTATATAGAAATTTTCATTTAAATAAAATTGCTTAAGGATGTTTTGATCAGCACATTAAGCGGCTTTATTATATTGAAATATTTGTTATATATTAATATGTGTGTATATATAATATATATACACACATAGCATAATATATATGCTCCTCTGTTAGATCTATATAAATTACAGGTAGCTTTCTGTTGCTTAGTACGAGTCCTGCCCATTACAGATCCTTTCTTCAGAATGTAAAAGGATCAATGAAAATGCAGTTTTGATAAAGACTCTTTGTACCCAATTCCACCTAATTTATTTATTATGACAAATTTTTAAAACAGGGTACTTATATTCTTTTCTAGCAGGTTCTAATATTTAGATGCTCTATAATTATACCTCTCCTTCTATTTTGAAACCCTACAGTTTCCTAAGAATTTTCATGATTGAATAATGAACCCAAACCACAAATTTACTATTAAGAATATAGGGATTTGCTCAGGTTTTCTGAATTAGTTAAGTGTTCTCTGCTGGACAGAATACTACAATATCTTCAAACTGAAGGTTTTCTTACCTCCCACTAAGGCAAAAAAAAGAAAAAAATGATTTAAAGATTTTCTGAGATCATGAAAGAAAATGAGGCAGCAGCTTATTTTGAAGTGACTTGTTTTGTTAGGAAAAACAAACAAAATCCTTCCAGATAGTTACAATGACTTCTTCACAGTGTGAAAACTAAATTGTGTTTAAATCTCCTGTCAGAGAAACCAGTTTCAAAATTATTTTCAAAAGTGAGAAAGGCCTGAAACAGAAACATCAGGGGTATAGATAACGCGCTAAATTTGAGCTTAAAATGCGGAAATACGGAGGTAGAGAGACTTGTTTGAAGCAGTATCTACAACATAACAGGTTAGGGAAGCTAAACGACCACAAGTTTAAGTTCCAAACTTGTGACATGACTGCTGAAAATACTACCACCGTAGTTTGTACTAACAGAAGTATTCAAACTGAAACATTTACATCCTTAGTGCTTTGCGTTAGTCAAACCACATGTGCAACGTTAATTTGCATTCACATAACTGGAAATGGTCACACAGCCCCTGTTTAGAAACAGGATAGGAAACTGTCTTGTCAAGTTCAGCATGAACAGAATCAGAAGAACGTTGGCAGATTTAGCCCGGAAAAGACAGGATACACATGATTAAATCTACTCTACTTTGAACATGTGAGAAATCTTTTCAGTTAAAACAGATTAAACCTGGTAAATTTTTAGATTAATTGCTAAAGCTTTAGAGATACCTCTATCTATGGTTAAGAATAAAACAGGAGAAATACTGAGTTTTTTTTCTTTTCCTTCACTGTATTACATTTTAACTTTAGGTAATTTGAATTTTGACATTTTAAAATAAAAGTTACGGATGTAATGGTTTAAGTGCACATCAGAAATTTCATTTTTCCTTGCACAGACTTTAAATTTTTAAAAAGGAGTTCTGGAATGTATATTTCTAAAAGGCAAATTTTCCTTCTACAATCCACATCAATTTGCAATAGAAAACTAAGCAGTTAACGTTCATTTTCCTTCAAAGTAAACTATTCTGTAGCAAAGTAAACTCTGCTACAGAGAACATGTTCTGTTAAGAGAAAGATGCAAGCATGACAGGTTATTCATCAGGATAGTCTTAATATTTTCCTCTGTGCTAATAAATCCTTTCCCAAGGCAAGGCAACAACTTTAAATGTCTACATACTACGCAGCCGCAATGCCTGGCCAGTACACCAAGTAAAAATTGCTCGTGCAACTCTTACCTTGGCTGAAGAACAAAAACCAAGACAACAAATTCCACCCCCTAAAAATGCATTTAAACAACCTCTAAAGACACTATCCATAGAGATTTTAGAAGTTGTACTTTGGATTAGATCCAAAGAGCACTTTCAAAAATAATTTGGTCACCTATTAAATATTTAATTGAAAATAAGTCTCAGTCTGATGGAAAGGACAGTTGATTACCTGATCATACTATTTACAAGTAACAGGTCTTTGTGAATGTGGGTTTAAGAGAGAAAATTTTTAAGTGATGCAATAAAGCATTTGATTTTTTTAAAAATCCAAATTATGATAAAGTAGACTCAACTGGGTAAGTCTTGTAGAATGAAGAACTCCCCACATCCAGTGCTGGAGAACAAGAAGCAGCAGCTCCAACTACACTGTTAGGAGATGAATTTGCTGATATAGTTCTTTCTATGCAACACAGAAAAGAGCTTCTTTGTGGGAACTGCATCACGTTTCCCTACACCATCCCATAGCACCCTAGAAGGGCACAGAAAAGATTGTAGCTTACTATCAAGGCCAGTAACCACATCTTGTTTTTTTTCCCCCCATACCTTGATTTTCAATTATTAACCAATGATCAGCAAATATGCTTTGATCATTAACTTAAAAAAGAAAATCAGAAATCAAATCACCAAGGTAATTCATTTTACTGAGATCCTACTGCTAATCTTATTAAAATACCTATCAGAAATATTCTGAACAGGTGTAACTCATTTTTAAAGCTGCATAACATTGCAAAGTATAGGATATGCCAGAATTCATTCCAATTATTCGCTGATTTTATTGTTTCCATGTTTTTGCCACTGTAAACAATAACACGGTATTTTTTTTTAAAAAGGAAGTATTTTGAACAGTTCTGAGTCTCCAAACTACTTGAAAATCAACAAATAAACTTTTAAAGGAAGTTCAAGACAATTTCCTCCACCCCGATCCCCCAAACACCATGCAAAATGTGAGTGTTCACAATTACAAAAAGCCATTTTAATATGTACTGGCTGTTGGACAATTTTTAGTGTTTATTTTTTGCAAGGATCCTGACAAGGTATTTCACTGAAAGTAGCAGTTTCGGGAAATATGTATACTTATATCTTATATCTATTTAATAAAAGTATCTATCCTTTCCCTTTCTGATGTGTTTCTACCCCAAAAGGAGACTTTAAAAATCTGGGCTTTTCCATCACAGATACATGATATCACTTCATTTTATTTATGCTTAAAAAGAAAATGGGCTAAGACAGAAATTTTTACACTGATGAAATTAAGCAGTTGGCATTTTTTGAGACACCAAATTTATGTATTGGGGAGCTAAAACCACCTTTTCGGTTTCTGTGATTATATAAGAAATTATCTGTTATCGAATGAGGAAGACACAGGTTATATAAGATCGTGCATTTCCCCCTCTTTAATTTCTAATGATACGAAAGAATTAAAATGGATTGTGGGTGTGGAGGGGGGAATCAATGAAAAGCAATTCATGTACCATTTATGTGCCAATATAGAAAACCTTGGGGATTCTCTTCTAACATTAGTTGCAGTATCACTTTCTGGGCACAATACAGAAGTAAGTACAGATATTTTATACAACTGAGATAAAATAACGAATAAGTGTGTTCAACAATATTACCTTTGGTTTAGAATGGACGGTTGTTCTATGTTCCATCCACCTCCATTTCCAGTGAGCATGGTGACTTGTTTGGTCAGTTTATTTGAAATGTCTTCACATTTGTTCATAAGCCTTATAACTACATCCCTTTCTTGGATCAGTGTTTTACAGTTCCATATCAAATCTTCTGATAAGCCATTAGTTTTGGACATCTTTGTGAACTATGGCATGAAAAGAAAAATAATTTAATAGTTAAGATCTAGTAAATAGAAAGACAAGCTCAATTTCTTTCTTTATGGGGGGGAAAAAAGTTCACTAATTTAAACTTTTTCTAATAAGCTTAAGCAAGTCCTAAGAGAACCTGATTCTTAATATCCACATTTGAATTCCCACGTGTTTTACTTTGATATCCTACTGTCGTTTCAGACTCATTATGTAAAAATAAAATATACCTTTCCCCCAAAATGTATAATCTCAAACTTGTTACACTGATCCTGGCAGCTGTTCTCTTATAGGAGAAACATAAACAAGTATTTGTTACTGTCTCCTATCAAGTTTTTTTTCTTCAAAATCTTAAATTCACCTTTCTCTATTACCAAAGAGTGCCAAATGTAATAACTGCATACCTGATCTTTTGTTTCCATTCTATTATATATTAAGATTAATATTCCTAAAATATATTTTCCCATATTTATCAAAGTGCAGCCCCTCAAGCTTTTAAAACTCCAATTATCCATCACCTGATATTTTACTCCTATACTGAGACTGTTACTTGGAAAGATATTACATCAAAAGTTAATCAAAAGTTAACTACAACCAATGCAATAATTCGATAAAAACTTTTTAAACCAATTTCAAGATAACATTTATATAAATGGTTTTGCATGAAAACTCACAGAATTTCTTTCAAAGTGTATTTGTATCTATTTTTCAAAAGGAGATGCTGAATATTTCATATGTAAAAGCTATACTAGAATTAGAATTTTCCTTACAGATAGCTGAAAAAATGTTATCTTACATGTTTTCAGTGAAAAAGGTAAGAAAGTCCAAAAGCTATTCGAAAGTTTGTTGGGCAAAATAAAAAGATATCCCATAATCCAGAACTGAATAAAGGAAACTAAAATAAAACCATCTGTTAGGATAACACCACACAAGACTCATGTCATCTTATTTAGTATATTCTTCCAAATTACAACAAGAATTACATTAACAACTCTAAATAATCCCTGTGTTCAGAGTATTTCTAAATTCAGAGAGAAGCTCTAGCAACAGAAATTCAGTACTTCCAGGAAATACTAAGATAATTTCATAAAAGTGCAGTTTATAACAATATACATTTTCCACATTAACCCTAGAATGCCTTGGTAAGATAAAAAATATCCAATCTATCCCAAGGCCACATTATTAACATACAGAAGGATTTTAAAACGCCCCCAAAACAAAAAACAACTTAGCACTTCACAAAATAGCACTGTAAGGACTAACATTTTTTCACAGGGACAACACTGATAATTACAACCTCATTTTGTGTTTTTCAGGGGGAAAAAAAAGATCTATACATAAACAGAAGGATAGATAAGAATCAGTGTTTTAGGGAGGTTCTGTTAGAACTTTTAATTCAAATATTTTTATTTTTAAGTAGAACCAAAAAACTATAGGCCAAAAAGCCAATCTCATGCCTACCGTAGTATGTGAGCATATATGAGAGAAAACCAACCAGATTAACCAGGAAATAAGAAACGAACATATACTGTGTGCTGTTTATGTACTAGGAATTACTAGATTCCTTTTATTTAGTAATTCATGAAATCCTCATAACAACTGCAGTATTAGTCTGCTGATTCTAGATGAATGAACTAAGGTTCAATTTCCAAGGTCCCAAAGCTGGATAAGAGAAAAAGTCCATGTTCTTCTCACTGTAATTTGTACCCGTACAAAGGGATTCGCCTGATTGTCAGGAAAATGAGATCCTAAGGCCACGGTAGCTGGTCTACAGCACAACGAGACCAAACCGGAGCAGGTGGTAACATTCCTGAAAAAATTTCCTCAAGATGAGGAAACTGTTAGAATAACCAAGGTGCTTAAAATCTGAGGCGGGAAATTTAGGCAACTGGTGAAGAGTTGAGAGTTGAAGTAATGATAAGTATATAAAGGCTAGATGTGGTGGCTCATAATCCCAGCACTTCGGGACGTTAGGCAGGAGGATCGCTAGAGGCCAGGAGTTCATGAGACCAGCCTGGGCAGCAGAGCAAGATCTCACCTCAAAACCAAACAAAAGAAATGAGCTGGGCATGGTGGTGCATGCCTGTAGCTCTAGCTAAGGGAGGCTGAGGCAGGAGATCACTTGAGCCCGGGAGTTCAAGGTTACAGTGAGCTGTAAAGGTGCGATGGCACTACAGCCTGGGAAAAGTCTGTCTCTTTAAGAAAAAAAAAAAGGTAATAGAAACCCAATACTTCTACAATATCTTCACTAAGTTGGGGAGATGGAGGAACAGGGGGCTTGGCACTTAAGGAAAGGTGTAAGAACACTCTACTGCCACCATGTTACTGTTTCCTGAACACAAAAAAGCATTTAATAATCATTTAGGTTACTTAACTTTGCCAAAAAACGATTTAAGAAATACATAAGTTCCCTGTAAATGGAGGATCTGTTAGTAAATCTAAAGTTATCAGTGAGCACAGAAAATACGATCCTGTTTATATGGTATGAAATATACAAATGTATACATAAATAGATGATGCTCAAAACATCTTAAATGGTGGGTATCTTTGGTAGAATTTGGGGTAATCTTGACTTTCTTCTTTTTTCATGCACGTACTGTTTCAATTTTAAACAAAACAAATCATTTTCAAAAAATGATAACGCTATTTTTCAGGGGGAAGAAAAGTGAAAAACGTAATTGCTATTTGCTAGATAATTACATGAGAAAACCATCAATATGGTCAGGATCATTATCTCTTCCATTAAAAACTCAAGTATAGCTCTATGGACTTTTTTCTTTCAAAAATAAGAGCAACTGAAGTACCCATCTCCTGCCACGGTGTGTCACTCTTACTGTACAAATATTTTTGAAAATTGTTTAAAAGTAGATTTAATTCTCAAATTATTGAATCCCCACTTAACAAGTAGCAGTCCTCAGGACAGTTTTAATCTTATTCATGATTGTACGTACCCGGCAGTAGCTTATAAAGTACTCAGAGTTCATTTATAATTTTTTAAATAAAAGTTTATCAAACTTACACAAATTAAAACAAAGCCTGAATAAAGTGATCTTACAAACAAATTTATTGAAGCCACCCTATCTGGAAGGTAGAAACACGAATTACAATGAATTAACAATGCTGCAAGTGACAAATTCAGACATTTTACAGAAAGGAGTACTGGGAAAACAAAGCAAAAAAGAAAATCTGTGGTCTAGTAGATGAGGGCACCATGAGGAACATAAAGCGTTTTCCATGGACTAAACCTGGGACGCCTGGTTAACGACAGTCAAGGAAAACTGCATCTACAC